GATATAAATTGGGACAGAGGGACTAGTGCCTCAGCAAAGGGAATTAGGTTTTTAAACTTGTTAAATGACACCTTCATGTCACAACTTGTACAAGCACCAACTAGAATGGATGCTTGTCTGGACCTGGTTTTAACAAACAACGTTGATCTTTTGACCAACATTCAAGTAGGTGAGCACTTGGGAAATAGTGATCACAATATAGTGTCCTTTGAAATAAACTCAAAAAAACAAAAGCACATGGGGAATACTAAAACATATAATTTTAAAAAGGCCAATTTCAATAAGTTAAGGGAAGCTTTACAATATATTGACTGGCATAAACTCTTTAGTGAAAAGAACACTGAGGATAAATGGATCATCTTCCAACAAATATTACAAAGGTACATTTCTCAGTATGTACCGTTGGGAAATAAATATAAAAGAAACAAATTAAAACCAATGTGGCTTAGTAGAGAAGTAAAACAAGAGATTACAACTAAGAAAAGGGCATTTAAAGCATTTAAATCGGACAAATCAGATGCATCTTATAAAAGATATAAGGATGCAAATAATGAGTGCAAAAAGGCAATTAGACTTGCTAAACTTCAAAATGAAATAATGATAGCTGAAGAGAGCAAAACCAACCCCAAAGCATTTTTTAAGTACATAAATTCTAAAAACAAAACAAAATGAAAGTGTAGGTACACTAAAAACTGAAACGGGGGTGTTAGTTAATGAAGACCAGGAAAAGGCAGGAATTTTAAATAACTATTTCTCCTCCGTATATATTAAGGAAGAACCCATGGCAAAAGATGTGCAAATGATTGCTACTAAAAACTTGCAGAAAAATTGTAATTGGTTAACTCAAGACAAGGTGCTGCAGCATTTAAAGAAACTTAATATAAACAAAGCTCCAGGGCCTGACGGTATCCATCCACGTGTACTTAAGGAACTAAGTGCAGAAATAAGTAAACCTCTGTTTTTAATCTTTCAAGATTCTTTTCTTTCAGGAAGTGTTCCGGAGGATTGGAGGAAGGCAGATGTGGTCCCTATATTCAAAAAGGGTTCAAAATCCTTGCCTGGAAATTATAGACCTGTGAGCTTAACTTCTGTGGCTGGTAAAATATTTGAAAGGTTATTAGAGGATAATATTCAAGAATTCCTTGAGAAGAACATGGTTATCAGCAAAAATCAGCATGGTTTTATGAAGCACAGGTCATGTCAAACTAACTTGATTGCGTTCTATGAAGAAGTAAGTAGATAGAGATCAGGGTGTTGACGTGGATGTAATCTATTTGGATTTTGCAAAGGCATTTGATACAGTTCCACACAATAGATTAGTGTTCAAACTCAAGGAAATCGGTCTAGATGAAAATGCTTGTTCTTGGGTAGAACATTGGCTTAAAAACAGAGTACAAAGAGTTGTCATTAATGGTACATTTTCAAGCTGGAAAGAGGTGGCAAGTGGTGTCCCTCAGGGGTCTGGGACCCCTTCTATTTAACATGTTTATAAATGATCTTGAAGACCGCATTGAAAGTCATGTTTCAGTGTTTGCAGATGACACCAAACTTTGTAAAACAATACAATGTGAGCAAGATATTACTTTGCTGCAGAGGGATTTAGATAGACTGGGGGACTGGGCACTCAAATGGCAGATGCAATTTAATGTTGAAAAATGCAAAGTTATGCACTTCGGCGTAAAGAATACACAAGCAACGTATACCCTTAATGGAAGCGAATTAGGGATAACAACACATGAAAAGGACTTGGGAATTGTTATAGACAACAAACTATACAACAATGTGCAATGTCAATCAGCAGTGGCCAAGGCCAGTAAGGTATTGTCATGCATGAAAAAAGGCATTCATTCTCAGGACAAGAATATAATTTTGCCCTTTTTATAAATCACTGGTAAGACCCCAAATTGAATATGCTGTGCAATTTTGGGCACCTGTTCTAAAGAAGGATATTATGGCACTAGAAAAAGTGCAGAGGCGGGCTACAAAATTAATAAAAGGAATGGAACATATAAGCTATGAAGAAAGGTTAACAAATTTAAACCTATTTAGTTTAGAAAAACGTCGCCTGAGAGGGGATATGATAACATTATACAAAATATATTCGGGGCCAATACAAACCATTGTGTGGAAATCTATTCACAAACCGGACTTTACATAGGACACGAGGTCATGAGTTTAGACTGGAAGAAAGAAGATTTCGTCTAAGGCAAAGGAAAGGTTTTTTTACTGTAAGAACAATCAGGATGTGGAATTCTCTGCCTGAGGAAGTGGTTTTATCAGAGTCCATACAGATGTTCAAGCGGCTACTAGATGCATACTTGCAAGAACAGAATATTCAAGGATATAATCTTTCAATGTAGGGTAATAACTGCTTGATCCAAGGATAAATCTGACTGCCATTCTGGGGTCAAGAAGGAATTTTTTTCCTAGCTTGTTGCAAAATTGTGCTTCCAACTGGGTTTTTTTTACTTCTTTTGGATCAACAGCAAAAAACAAATGTGAGGTAGGCTGAACTTGATGGACGCAAGTCTCTTTTCAGCTATGTAACTATGTAACTATGTAACTATGGAAATATTGGAATGGGGAAAGGATTGTAATGGGAAGGGTATGTTACACCTCGCCAAGAGAGTGGTTACCATTAAATTACCCACTACTATTCCTCAAACCCCCGAAGTTCCCATATAATACAGGGAGGTTAAGGAAGTGTTTAGTAAGAGTCAGTCCAATATCTTATCTCCTCACAGGTCATATGACTCCATAAATCTGTTACCCGGTGCTATGCCACCTAAAGGGGCAGTATATGCCTTATCGCCACAGGAGAGTAAAATAATGGAAGAATATATCAAAGACTGACTAACCAAGGGCCATATACGGAAATCATCCTCACCTGCTGGTGCAGTCATGTTTTTTGTAGACAAGAAAGATGGGAAATTACATCCGTGCATTGACTACAGAGCATTAAATAAGATTACTGTTAAGAATGCCTATCCTATTCCTCTAATTTCCGAATTGTTTGATAGACTCCAGGGTGCTAAGATCTTTACCAAACTGGATCTCAGGAGTGCATACAATTTGGTAAGAATCAAGGAAAATCATGAGTGGAAAGCGGCATTTAAGACTAGATGCGGGCACTATGAGTACCTTGTTATGCCTTTTGGGCTATGCAATGCACCAGCCGTATTCCAGGATTTTATTAATGATGTACTCAGGGATTATATCTATTCTTTTGTCCTGGTTTATTTGGATGATATCCTTATCTATTCCCCTGACCTTCAAACCCACCACAAACAGGTCAAACAAGTATTGCAGACTTTACTGGAAAACAAACTTTATTGTAAATTGGAAAAATGCTTGTTTGGTCAGACTGAAGAACAGTTTTTGCGGTATAACTAGTGATGTCGCGAACCCGAAATTTTCGGTTCGCGAACGACGAACGCGGACTTCCGCAAATGTTCGAGAACCGGCAAACCGGGCAAACTGCCATAGACTTCAATGGGCAGGCGAATTTTAAAACACACAGGGACTCTTTCTGGCCACAATAGTGACGGAAAAGTTGTTTCAAGGGGACTAACACCTGGACTGTGGCATGCCGGAGGGGGATCCATGGCAAAACTCCCATGGAAAATTACACAGTTGATACAGAGTCTGGTTTTAATCCATAAAGGGCATAAATCACCTAACATTCCTAAATTGTTTAGAATAACGTGCTTTAAAACATCAGGTATGATGTTGTATCGATCAGGTAGTGTAAGGGTTACGCCCGCTTCACAGTGACAGACCAAACTCCCCGTTTAACGCACCGCAAACAGCCGCACAACCGCAAACTCCATTTGCACAAGGTTGGATACCAAGCTAGCCATGTCCCGTTCCTTGTCCTCACTGATGTCATTGAAGGTCTCTTCCTCCACCCAGCCACGTACAACACCAAGGGTCCCCAAAAGGTGACAACAAGCCCCTTGGGACGCCTGCTGTGTTTGGTCTTCCACCTCCTCAAAGCCACCTTCCTCCTCTGACTCCTCTTCTTCAGACTCCTCTCTCTGCATTGCCTCTCTCTGCATTATTATAAGGTGTGTTAAGTAGTACTATTCCTATCAGTTTAATCCCTGTTACGTCCCCTATCAGGGGACGTGTATATGGCATCGATTTTAGGAACCGGGAGATGGAAAAAGATGCTTGGTCAGTCCTCCTTCTTCAAATTTGGGTCACTGCACGTGCAATCTAATGTGCCACCAGATTGGAGTGGTGTGTTAAGTAGTACTATTCTTATCAGTTTAATCCCAATGTCACGACTACTAGTGTGGTCCAGCACGCAGAAACTATGTAAACATATACATAGGCAAGAAAAGGAAAATAAAAGGACAGAGCGTAAACCGGACCTTAGAATGGCCAGACTAATACGCTAGAGACAGAGAATGGTCAAAGGGAAAGCCGAGGTTAAGGAAGCCAGAAAATACACAATACCGTTTACACAAGCCAAGTCAGGGAAACCAGATATCGATATCTGCAGTTAAGGCAAGGTAGTCTGCTACCTGTCGGTCGAGTCGTTCTCTGAGGATGGACCCCAAAGGGCTGTGGCGATGCGTAGGACTTAAAAAGCTCTGCATGTCCTCCATCAACAACACGTCTGTAAATCGTCCTGTCCTTGCCGGCGTGGTCCTGGGAGGAGGAGGATTACTTTCACCTCTTCCCCTGTTAGATTCCCGTTGTGCTGTGACATCACCCTTATACGCTGTGTAAAGCATACTTTTTAATTGATTTTGGAACTGCTGCATCCTTTCCGACTTGCTGTAATTCGGTAACATTTCAGGCACTTTCTGCTTATACTGGGGGTCTAGTAGCATGGACACCCAGTACAGGTCGTTCTCCTTCAGCCTTTTTATACGAGGGTCCCTCAACAGGCACGACAGCATGAAAGACCCCATTTGCACAAGGTTGGATGCCAAGCTACTCATGTCCTGTTCCTCGTCCTCAGTGATCTCACTGAAGGTATGTTCTTCCCCCCAGCCACGTACAACACCACGGGTACCAGATAGGTGACAACGAGCACCCTGGGATGCCTGTTGTGGTTGGTCTTCCTCCTCCTCCTCAAAGCCACATTCCTCCTCTGACTCCTCTTCCTCACAATCCTCTTCCAGCGTTGCCACAGGTCCAGCAAGCGATGCTGATAAGGCTGTTTCTGGTGGTGATGGTGACCACAACTCTTCCTCTTCCTCTTCACGCTCATCTATGGCCTGATCCAGCACTCTTCGCAGGGCACGCTCCAGGAAGAAAATAAATGGTATGATGTCGCTGATGGTGCCTTCGATGCGACTGACTAGGTTTGTCACCTCCTTAAAAGCGCATGAGTGTCCAGTAACGTAGCAAAAAAATTAGCAGCTCCACAGAGACTGTCCTAGCACCCCGGTCATACAAATACTCATTAACGGCTTTTTCTTGTTGGAGCAGGCGGTCGAACATTAGGAGTGTTGAATTCCAACGTTTTGGGCTGTTGCAAATCAAGTGCCTCACTGGCATGTTTTTTTGCCGCTGGATATCTGAAAAGTGGGCCATGGCCGTGTAGGAACGCCTGAAATGGCCACACACCTTCCTGGCCTGCTTCAGGACGTCCTGTAAGCCTGGGTACTTATGCACAAAGCGTTGTACGATCAGATTACACACATGTGCCATGCACGGCACATGTGTCAACTTGCCCAAATGCAATGCCGCCAACAAATTTCTTCCGTTGTCACAAACCACTTTGCCGATCTCCAGTTGGTGCGGAGTCAGCCACTGATCCACCTGTGCGTTCAGGGCGGACAGGAGTGCTGGTCCGGTGTGACTCTCTGCTTTCAAGCAAGTCAACCCCAGGACGGCGTGACACTGCCGTATCCGGGATGTGGAATAGTACCTGGGGAGCTGGGGGGGTGCCGTTGATGTGGAGCAAGACGCAGCAGCAGAAGAGGACTCGGCCGAGGAGGTTATGGAAGAGGATGGAGTAGGAGGAGTAGAGGAGGTGGCAGCAGGCCTGCCTGCAAGTCGTGGCGGTGTTACCAACTCCTCTGCAGAGCCACGCATTCCATGCTTGGCAGCCGTCCGCAGGTTTACCCAATGCGCAGTGTAGGTGATATACCTGCCCTGACCATGCTTTGCAGACCAGGTATCAGTGGTCAGATGGACGCTTGCCCCAACACTGTGTGCCAGACATGCCATTACTTCCTTTTGCACAATCGAGTACAGGTTGGGGATTGTCTTTTGTGCAAAGAAATTTCGGCCGGGTAACTTCCACTGTGGTGTCCCAATAGCTACAAATTTTTTGAACGCCTCAGACTCCACCAGCTTGTATGGTAAAAGCTGGCGGGCCAAGAGTTCAGTCAAGCCAGCTGTCAGACACCGGGCAAGGGGGTGACTTTGTGACATTGGCTTCTTACGCTCAAACATGTCCTTGACAGACACCTGACTGTGGGCAGATAAGCAAGAACTGCTCAAGGCGAGAGACGGAGGGGCAGATGGTTGAGAGGGGGCAAGGAGGACAGCAGTGGTTAACGTGGCTGAAGATGCTGGACCAGGAGGAGGATGGCGGCTTTGAGTTTGTGTGCTGCTTGTACTCATGTGTTGATCCCATAGGCGTTTGTGATGTGCGATCATGTGCCTTCGCAAAGCAGTTGTACCTAGGTGGGTGTTGGACTTCCCACGACTCAGTTTCTTTTGGCACAGGTTGCAAATGGCATTGCTCTTGTCAGAGGCAGACACACAAAAAAAATGCCACACTGCTGAGCTCTGCAATGACGGCATTCTGGTGGTGGCAACAGCATGGGTTGATTGGCGTGCTATCTGGCTGACCCCGGGTGCCGATGCATGCTGTCTGACTGTGCCACTAGCTCCTTGCGACGACCTCCCCCTGCCTCCAACTCGTCTCCCCCTCCTCCTCTCTGTCTCCTCATCTGAACTTTCCCCCTGTTCCTCTTCTCTTCTAGCGGGCACCCACATGACATCCACGGACGCATCGTCATCATCAACCACTTCACTTGTATCTGACAACTCAGCAAAGGAAGCAGCAGAGGGTACAACAATTAATGGTGATAGTGGTCATCCGTGGAGGGTACCATTTGTGATTCCACATTTTTGGGATAAAAAGTCTGTGTTAAAAACCTTCGCTGAAGGATGTGAGTATAGTTCCATAATGCTATTCACAAACATAGGTTTGAAGCCTAGTTTATGGATGGTACTGCTCATATAAGCCCAATTCAAGTGATCAAATGCTTTTCCCGCGTCTATGGTCAGGAGTATCCCTTGGTCATGGTTAGTGTGGGCCCATTGAATGAGGTTGAGGTAGTGCCTCGTATTGTCGCCCACTTGTCTTCCTGGGACAAAACCCACCTGCTAAACAGGAACTAAATTGAGCAGGAACAGCTTTATCCAGGAAGCCAGCAGCTTGGCATAGAGTTTAATATCAGCGTTAAGAAGAGATATGGGTCTAAGGTAAGGGCATTACGTTGGTTTTCCAGGTTTGGGAAGTGTAACTATGTGCGCTTCAAGCATTTCTGCAGGAATCAAGCCGGAGGATTTAAAAAGATTAAAAATAATTGTGAGGTGTGGCGTTAAAATAGGTTCAATCTTTACATAATAATAGTTGGACAATCCATCAGGGCCTGGGGCCTTGTGTTTGGGAAGATATTGAATAGCTTTATTTCATCCTCTGTAAACTGAGCTTCTAACTGTTGGTATTGGCTCGGAGAGAGTCTGGGATGATTTACTTCCTCAATGAATTTGTCTATGCCGGCCTGTGAAGGCTGATGTATATCTGGGTCTTTGTGTAGATTGTAAAGCTTGTCATAGTAACATACTAATTCTTCTACAATATCATTAGGATTAAATAACTTTTTTGTTTTTTGGTAGATGTAACATAGGGTATCTTCGTTTGAAGGTAGTTTGATTTTAATATTCTCACGCAAGTTTTTTCCTGCCTTACTGCCATGTATATAGTATTTCAATTTCCAAGCCCTCATCTGTCTCTCTCTATCCACTAATGCCAGCTGATCTAGTTCTTTTCTGAGGGCATTTATTTGTTTACTATGTGATTAGGAATGCGCACTTTTATGTTGGGATTCTAGCTGGGCCAGGTTCCGAAGGAGCCGCGATCGGGCCACACACAATTTGTTTTTACATTTGGAGCCTAGTTTGATTGAAGTTCCTCTAATGACAGCTGTATGTGCCAACCATAGGGAGGGAGCTGCGATATTGTCCTTATTATTATCCTGAAAGTATGTGATAAGTGATTCTGTTATTACAGGGAGTAATTTGGAGTCATCCAACAGTGCCTCATTCAATCTCCATGACCCTCTACCCCAGACCGGGTACTTGGAGTGGAATGTAACTGACTGGTGAATAGTGCGACCATGTCCTAGGGCCTATGTTAACGGTGGTGATGTTGGGCAGAGTAGCTTTATCTACAATGCACATATCTATTCGTGAGTAAGTTAGATGTGCTGATGAGTAAAATATGAAATCTCTAGCAGATGGGTAATTTGGAGTCATCCAACAGTGCCTCATTCAATCTCCATGACCCTCTACCCCAGACCGGGTACTTGGAGTGGAATGTAACTGACTGGTGAATAGTCCGACCATGTCCTAAGGCCTATGTTAACGGTGGTGATGTTGGGCAGAGTAGCTTTATCTACAATGCACATATCTATTCGTGAGTAAGTTAGATGTGCTGATGAGTAAAATATGAAATCTCTAGCAGATGGGTAAAGACACCACCACGTGTCATATAAATCATAGTTATGAAGCAGGGCCCTCAATTTTTGACTATTAGTTACAGCTAAAGGGTGTGGCCCTTTATCATCTTTTCATGAAATGTCTAATTTGGGGTAAAAGAGCTATTAAAATCAACACATAAAACAATATGACCCACACAAAGTTCTAAATCTTTCAGTGCTTTTTTATTTTTTATTTAGACTGTGAACATTTGGGTGCATACAAGGAAGCTAAGGTAATTTGAATATCATTTAGGGAGTCTACCGGGATTAATAAACGTCCCATTGCATCTGTATATATTGTGTATCCCCAGTCTGCATGAATTAAAATAGATACCCCTTTAGATTTACTAGGCGAGTATGCATGATAGGCCTGGGGATAACATTACGTTAGGAGGAACCTTTGCACACAAATGGGTTTCTTGGAGGCATATTACTGCGGCCCTGGATTTCCGCAAATACTGGTATAGTAACTGTCATTTATGTGGGCTATTAGGACTATTAACATTCATGGAGATGATTCGAAAAGATGTATCCATATTTGTTGTGCCTAATCATTAAATTCATGAAGCGCCAATATAAAAAAGCAATAACCAATTACCCTAAGGTTTTTAAAGATATTGGTGGGCACCAAAACCCTATTCGAGATGAGTGAATTGAGTATTTGAGAAAGGGAAACACACTGACACCTAGTACTTATAAATAATACAAACTTTGATTAACAAAGACTAAATAAGTAATATTCAGCTTAAGGAAACAGCTTAATTATACATCACTAAAAAAAAGTTGCTTGCGGCACTCGACTGAGAAAATTTCTGGCAGTCAGGCTTGAAGAGCACCCTCTCTTACAGGGAATTAGCAGAACCAGCAATACGTGTCTGTATTACAGGTGGGAAGTACTTCAATGAGTGGCAAGTTTTCTCGTCTTTTATAAGTTTATCAATGGGATAGAAAGTCTGTACTTTTCCATCAAATCTCCTTATCAGTGCAGGCCAGCAAACACCTTGCAAAAGTGTTGGATGGGACCAGCATCTGGCCAGTCTGTCTAGGCCCACCAACAATACCATGCCAGGTCTGTGCAGTTATCTCTTATCTAAAAAGCTAGCTCTGTTCTCATAACTATCTCGTGATGGTATGCATGAGTCATTCTGGTGCTGTGTTTTGTGGTTATTCACATTTTCAGTACTGCGTACCGGCGCCATCTTAACTATCTATAATAGTTTAATTTGCTCAATAGTGATCAATCATTCTTAATTAATATGGAATATTATTGTCACAATACTTAGTAATACTTATAGTTAGTGTTTTGTTTTAATTTTTAACGCTAGAAAGGCTGTGAATAATCTAATGTAAGAGGACTTTCGGCATTCTATTATGAGGATTATAGACTCAGCCTTACCAAACCACTGCATCTTATATTTACATGAACAATACAGTATTTTCCGTGCCACACCTGGGAATGGTAATAAAAGTTTTAGGAAGTTCAACAGGGATAAAATTAACTGCAAAAAAATATAGATATACACACCCTTAATGAGAAGGGAATTATGGTGGCTAGGTAAGGGAGCATAATAAGTTCCCTATACCAGCCTGGGGGTGAATAGAGAGTGACCACTCATAGTGAGGCCTAAGGATGCTCAATAATATACCTAAGAACCACACCTTCGGTGTTTGGTATACATTAATACTTTTTGACCATAGCATGCATTGAGTAAATAAAGTTAGGTCATATATCCATTAGTTAGTCAGCATTCCGTAAGGAGAACTTATACAGAAGTAACCGTTTCTTTTTTTTTTGTCTTTAAACTATAACAAGGATTGCAGGAAGGAGGGCAGAAGGTCTATTCTCGTAGGGCCTAAAGGGCTCACTGCATTGGCATACATCAGTATGCTAGGTAAATCGGGACTTAGAAGTTTTATGCTTGAATATTAACTTGAATAAAAAAAAAAAAAAATAACAAAGAAGGTCATCCAGTACATAAAATCTGTGATGGCCTAACTAGGCAGCACAAGCCTTCCGCAGCCTATTACCACTAAGGATTCCCATGTAGATCGTATAGCCACTGTTTATACCGTACTCTGGGTTATGTTCTACTATCCCACCCTTTACTAGGGTGCACTGTACTCCAAGATAGAGTAGATCAACAGACATTACAGGGGATAATAGTTATGTAGCATAACAGCAGCAATAATTATAGGTTAAATAAGATGTGTAAATAATAAAAATGATACCACAGAAGGACCCCCAGTCTATGATGGTTAAGTCCTGGGAGCAGGCATGATTGCCAATGTTTATACCCTCCATTGAGTCAAGAAATAAAAATAAATAAATGTAGGCATGTGAGAGTTCACGGATGTCTTGGGGATCCAGTCATTCTCCATTCTGGTTGTAACTTAAGTGAGGAGCTCAGATTCTTGATCCGATGTTAGCAGTGTCAATTCTGTCAGCTCCTTTATGGCAGCATCTGGGTTGAGGATTGAGTGCATTTGCCCATTACGCCAGATCAGCAGCTGTGTGTGTGTGGTACCCCCAACGGTAGGATATCCTATGGTTTCACAAGACTCTAGTTGTATTCACAAATTCCTTTCTGGCCATGGTAAGGGCTCATAGATCTGCAAAGACTAGTATGTCTTGATAGGGATTAAGCAAAGAAGAAATCTTCTTTGATGTTTGCAGCAACAAGTCCTTAGATTGGTAGTAGTGAAATCTCACTATTTTGTCTGCTGAGTCGTGGAGTCCTCGGTAATCTGTGTACACGATCGAATATCCAGGCAGAGTCTTCAAGAGTAGGGACAAGTGTTTAACATAGACCTTAGATGTAGGCCGCCAGTGCCTCTGCCAAAATGGTGTCTGCAATACCGGTTGTGCTGAAACAATAGCACATTTCAGCACGACCGGTCTTCTAGATCCGCCATTTTATATTTAAGTTGGGTGTGCTCAGCCTCCATCTATTGCATTTAAATTGTAATTAATAGGCATTTAGTTTTATGGTCTCTCCCACCCACCTATTTTAAGGGTGGGGGGGTAGTTAAAGCTTTATTTTTTTTTGGGTGGAGGTAACTAGGGGACCCCTAGTCACCTTGGGGAAGGTATTTTTACATCTAGCCCAGACCTATTAATGTTGGCAGGGAGAACATTAAGGGTCCCCCATTGTCATTTAGGGGCCTCACCTGGCGCTCATGAGTGGGGGACCCCAAGTGCCCTGAGTAATTGAAAAGCCCCTGCACAAAATATTATGCCCCCCGTTCCTTAATAGATGCCCCACAATAGGGCCGTTTATGAAACTGGAGGGTGTTTTAAAAAAAAAAAATAATCTGTTGCTAAAGCAAGTAGGGGCAGATTTAATACCAAGTAATCTTTACTTTCAGTTGGTTGAAAGACCCATTTAGATCTTTCAGCCTCTTGCTAGATAAGGAGCCATCTACTAAGCAGCTGCAAGATCGGAATTTCATTCCTTTGAATTAAATTTCAAACTGATCATCATTTTAACATGAATGAACTGTTCATTATTAGGACAAAAGTCGTAAATGAGAGGATGTTTGGGAATAGTGAACACTGGCATCACAAGAACAGAGGCAAGAGTGAGTATTGTGGGATTACTCTGACCCACAGGAAGTCGGTCAAATGTAGGGCTACACAAGATAAAGTCCCTACTTTGTCTTATGATTTATAGACAATTAGATTAGAAGAAATTATCCTGAGACAGTGAGGACATTTGGCCATGACAGTGCTGCTTTAAGTCTCTCCAGCACTGTTTATTCATATTGCACTTTGCATTTATGATGCCTTGTTTTGAGAGTTCACCATATCTACCTACTAATGTAGTAGAGGGATTCTATAGTGTAAGGAATAGACATTATTACATTGTAGCTCCCTCTGCCCCAGGATGGCAAGTGTTAAAAGCCTTTGTGTCCTCACCTACTTCCAGTGCAGTTCTCCCTAGCTACTCTGCTTCCACTGCCAAGTTATAAAGCACATGTGCAGTAAGGGCATTAGACCATCCAATAGAAAGGCATTATTTGTATTTATTGTCAGACGCTGATGTCTTCACGCAGAGTGAAGAGATGTCGGCAACCAAAATTTTGACAGTACGTGACTTGTTGCTGTCTGATGCAGCCTTTGTCCTGCAGTTTCTCAAAAACTGCAATCCCTACAATATTAACTGGTCTAGTTAATGAACCCCTAGACAGAGGTTTTGTCCTGCAAACCAAGTTAAACAAATTGTCCAACACTGAAGTCACAGTTTAATCATTTACTTCTTGTACCTGTGTTTCCAGCTTACCAGACTCCCACATTCTGGAGTTTCTTCCGTTATACAAATTTATTCACTAAATGCGAGTGAAGTCTAAAAATAGAAGTTTCTATTCAGGTTATAGATTGTGGAATACTGATGTACTAGACCTTTTAATAAAGTTTAAATAATTGCTTCAGAAAGCCATGTATCCATATCAAATTAGTGACAAGCTACTTTTGAAATTCAGCAAGACTATACAATTATTGCATCTTATATTCCAAGATGCCTGAAAAGGACATGGGTTTATTCTAGCAGGTCCCCTCCATGTTAAGTGCTCCTTGGAAGAATGGTCTACCCAAATAATAAGCAACACATTAGCTTTTTAAAGGTTTTATTTTTGCTAAACTTGGAGACCATGATTACTTCATAATAAATGCTACAAGAGCGCCAACCACAATGACAGCCACACTCAGGATACCAAGGGTCACCAACACCCAGAGCTCCACATTTGTAGATTCTTGGGTCACAGCAAGAGCCTGGCTCTGCTCCGCACCAACCACCAGCAGAGGTCCCAGTGTAGCCCATTTGTGTTCTTGGTCTGACAGAGGTCCTGTGAAAACAAGTAGGCTTCATACATACTGACAGGTCAATGGATTTGAAGTTCCCCAGTCACAGAAAGGAACCAGGATAAGAGGAAGCAGTCCAGTTATGCATCACACTGCATTAAATGTATCTTGAATTTAAGTGACATTATTTAACTCACCAGATGGAGCTTCTCTCTTGCCAACACCCCTTTGTCCAGGATACCATGGATTAAGTCTCCGGCTGCTACTAGTTGTAGCACAGTTTCCAGTCTCACAACAGCTGCATATGGCACCATTTCCTTCCAGAGCAGTCCAGCTAAGGAAGAAAAACCATTAATCCATTTGAGGATTTAGCCTCAGTTAGAATGTTTACTGAGAACTATGCCGTCAAGCCTCAGTGTTGCCAACAACCCTGCTTGAGGTTGTCATTACTTACAGGTTGGAGGATTTGCTAAAGGAACAGGCCTTGTTCATGGGATCAGGAACCTGACTTGCGCCAACAGCTCTCAAGTTACAGGTGATGTAGATCTACAAACAGAGGTTACATTTATATATAGAGGTTTCTCAAAGTGTACAGAGACTTATGACTAGATCCTCACCATTGAGTTATCAGATCCAACAAATCTGAAGGCATCAACTGTGAACTGGAGCCGGTCTGGTGTGGGTCTCGGGGATCTAAAGGCAGAGGATGAATCCTCCTGCTTGCCATCCAACAAACACCTGCAAAGCACAGACTGGTTTAGAAAGGGTATTACCAGCTACCACAATACCACAAGTGGCATAACCTACCCATTCTGAGCAATGATCTCATAATGAGGGCTGGAGGTGGCATCAGGGGATAATGTTGCCACACAGCTGTCCACAAAGATCATCATAGGCACATGGTTTGTAGTGTCAACAGAAGCCTCTATGTGGAATATATCACCTAAAGTGAATATTGAAGATGTCCGTGGAGCACTCCAGTCATCTAGAAGGTGACACATTGAATGGGGTTAGTGACAGCAGAGACACAAGTCACCCATAACATCCAGCCAGTAGTTACCATTCATTAGCATCAACGAGAAGGACAGACGTTCCTCTGCAGATATGGTGGAGCTGAAGGGAATCCATGTTGGTTTGATGGCATTGCTGCTCACATTGCCATGTCTGCAGAGAATAAATATGTGAATAGGTGAAGTCATCTCATAACATTGCTTTCAGGAAGTTCTGAATTATTGTTTTTAAAGTGCCCCAAGCACCAGAATTTTAACTTAAGAAATAAAGTTACTGATTTTACTCAAATGGCAGAGAATGGAGTACTCTTGTTTATACATCCCTAGCTAAACCTCCTCTGGTTGTGACTCATACAGCCTCCCTGGAGTAGTCTGCATGCTTGACCTCAGTAAACACTGCAATAAAGGGTCCAAGACCATGTAATCTCATTGAAGTCATTAGGGTGCACTGTCATTTTAATACTACAATCTATAAAACGGGGAGCACCTCTAGTTTCTCTGAAATGCAAGATTTTAAAGTTTGACTGAAACTGCTGGATGTACTCAGGCTTTACACGGAGACCTGTCTTGTAAGACCCCAAAGGAAAGCATGGATTTGAGCGCTATTAGAGCAGGAAATTGGATTTGAAGTTGTACTGTTCTTTCACAGTTTAAAAATGTAAACCATTTGACTGAGGCTGTGTGAGTCTCCCAGAGGAGCTGTGACTATGGCTGAATAAACAAAGTGATTACATCACTAAATGGCAGGGATTAGAACCATGAGACAGCATGGGCATGATCTACACCAGAACTATTAAGGGATATTTGTTTGTGCTCAGAATGTTTCTCTAACTTACACTACAGTAGTCAGTGGCGTAAATACCATGGTTGCAGCTGCACCTGGCCCATCACTCCAGTAGGCCCGTCCACACTGCTGACCCCTGTGACTGTTTGCCTGCCTCTGTTTCAGCCCTGGCCTGCACCTGAAGTGGCCCATGCTGTCAAGGCAACCCAGTGGCTAAAGACTCTAGGCTTTGAGGCCTTAGGCGAAACTGAAACATGAGGCCCCACTAACAAAAAAATTGTCACATTATACATACACATTGGTGCACAGTTTACCTGTGTATGTGCCTGACAGTATCCTTGTGTGTGAATCCATGTCGGAGCAAGTTTGCGTTTTTGTCTGAGACCCTATGTGTATGGAGTGATGGAAGGTGGTGGAGTGAGAGAACCTACCTTTACTCCCTGGTGGTCCGGTGGCCATTGCTTCCAGTCTGCTGCTCTGGGGAGTACTCTCGTAATCTGATTGGCCAATTATTGTGAGACACATGGTCTGCAGCTCTGCTGAGGACCTGACAGTCTGCCCACAGGCTGTTTAGGTCGCTGCAAGGCCCCAGCCAGAGCGAGGCCTTAGGCAGCTGCCTAAACAGAGCCACCTCTGACTATAGATTTCTAGGGGGACTGTCAGTGCATTAACAGCGCGTCTGGGCCCCAGAGATGAAGTGACTCATCCTATCTTCCTCCCACATGATCACTGGGAGGAGTGACTGCGGCAGTCAGAGTGGGGACTGACTCCCATCAGGCTGATCCTCCACTGGACCCCCGGTTAGTCACCCTCCTGCATCTATAGTGTAAGAAACAGGAGGGTGACTAGAACAGTGTGGTACAGACAGGGGTCGCAGCTGTGACCAGGCCCATCACTCCAGCAGTCCTGGCTGCACTGCAGCCAGGGGGCCCATGGATTGTATGTATGCCACTGATTAGTTTAAAAGGACCACTATAGTGCCAGGAAAACACTAGTTTTCCTGGCACTATAGTGCCCTGGGGGTGCCCCCACCCTCAGGGTCCCCCTCCCGCCCCTGAGAAAAAAAATAAAAAAAAAATAAATAAAAAACCCACACACACACACACACACACACACACTACCTTTTTCCAGCGCTGGGCGGAGAGCTCTCCTCCGATCCTCCTCCCCGTCGGCTGGCTGCGCGCGCATTCAGCCGGTCACATAGGAAAGCATTCATAATGCTTTCCTATGGACGCTGGCATGCTCTCACTGTGAAAATCACAGTGAGAAGCACGCAAGCGCCTCTAGTGGCTGTCAATGAGACAGCACTAGAGGAAATAGGGGGAAGGCTTAACCCATTCATAAACATAGCAGTTTCTCTGAAACTGCTATGTTTATAAAAAAAAATGGGTTAACCCTAGCTGGACCTGGCACCCAGACCACTTCATTAAGCTGAAGTGGTCTGGGTGCCTAGAGTGGTTCTTTAACAGCAGTTTCTGTATTTAAAACAGACCATGTAGCAGTGTTACAAGTGCAGCAGCTCACCTCATACATTATCTACTAACCAGCAGAAAGTTATGGAGTGTAGGGCAGATTATACAACCAGTCACATGTTTAAGATCTGTGTGACTTTCCTTATGCACCCTGTATCTTAGAGAATACAGAGCTTGACTTTAAATCAAAAAAAAAAAAAAAAAAACCACACCAAATAGCAATAACTAGGCGCAGCCATTTTATGTGCTGCTTGCCTACTGTGGGACTGATGGATTGTGGGTAAAGTTGTATTGACTTCTAAGAGATCCTTGGCCCATGGTCTGGTTTTAGCAACCTGGTGGCTATGCACAAGTGAATGTAGTCACATTTATTTATTAGAAACTAGGATATATGCCAAGCATCATTCCACAGTGATTATTACAGTGACAGCACATCAACCGAGGACTGTGCTGCTCTCCCCAATTCTGTAGAAGGACCCATTTTCTCTACCAGAAGCGGTTTTATGACTTATGGGATGTGCCACAATAAGTCTGGCACCATAACCACTACAGCCTGATGGCACATCTCACTCAGGACCAGCCATGCAGAGCATTAATGAAGTGTGGTCCTAGTGCTGGTTGCAGGAGTGATACAAACACTTGGATGGCTGAAGTCAGTGTATAATTGTCCTAGACTGTACCAAGGATGCTGCCCTTTACTGCAGCAGATTTTTATATGTTAGAACCAGTATCAGGAGAAATAGGAATGGGTTGTTTTGGTTGGTTTTCTGAAAACACTAGATCACCTTACAATACCCCATGCTATGAGAATTCGGTCCAGAGAGGTTTGTGTTCCAGAATCATGTTGACATTTAATTCTGCAGTTTTTATTATAGCTTGCCGCCTTCAGGGGAGACATGAACATCTCAATATACGAGATACGAGTCATCCTTCAGCTGGTCACTGGATGTGACCACTACTGATGGGGATGTCAGCCTCCCCTTCACACAGGACCATGCATGCAGTGCTCAGGAGGTTTTAGTTCCCACTGTACAGCATGCTTGAGGACAGTCATTGGTAGCCCCAGATGTAGGACATTTTCTGTAATTTGGGACTGCCTTGCCAAAAGCAGGACAGTTGGGTGGACTGAAAGAGCAAGAGGAATGATGTTCGTAGTTCAAGTCCACAGGGGCTGACCTTTTGGTTATATATGTGTTTCAACGGGGTAGAGTGCACACTAAAGGCTGAAGATCAACTCTGCACTAACATGATATCACTATAGCAACCAGCGCTGGATTCATTGTATTGCAGACTGCTAGCAGTGTATTCAGCAGCTCCACTTATCTGATTAGATCTGATCTTATCTGATAGATAGATACATACATAGATACATACATACATACATACATACACAAAACAGCCATACAGTGCTTATCACAAATAAGCATATGAGATTCTAAGCACTGCATGGCACCATGCTTTGTATATACAAGCACTGCATTACTTACTGTTGATTTGTAGGGAGAGAGATTACATATTGTAGTGTCACATCAATGGAAATTAGAAAGTCAACTTTGTAACTAGACTAAGCTATTCACTAAGTAGTGTTTTTGCACAATACTTTTTGGTAATAAGTATGTGACTTTAAGCTGTACCCTTTATTGTAGTTACTAGAATTGCTATTGCAACTTAAAGTACCAAACAGACATTAAGGGGTTCTAGTGTGAGGAATACAAGTTTAGTTTACTCACCTGCTTCCAACACGCTATATATCCAATAGGGGGAATCGAATATGCATGTGTTGAGCGCCACAAGCACACTAGGCCCTCCCCATAGAAAAACATTGAGTCACTTTTCTTGTAGTTTTTTTACGGATACCATAATGCAGATTGTGAGGGCATCCAGTGTCATTTAAGGGACTCCCTTTAGTAAGTCGCTAGAGACTGTCTTACTGCAAAGTGAACATTGGAGTTTCTCAAAAAGGCAGTGTTTTGCATTGCTACATTACTAAGGATGGCATGGTCACTGCACCCAGACCACTTTAATGAGGGTGTGGGTGCTTCTAGTGTCCCTTTAACTGGTTTATAGATTGTCCCTTTGCTGGTAAAGTGGATTTCTTTGTAGCGATGAGAAAGCAGTGTTTACCAGAGTAACACCTCTAGTAACTGTCAGACTGATACCACTACAGCCATTATCACCTGAAAACTAGATTGAGACATAAGAGTGGTGGTCACCTGAGGTAGTAGCACTGGATGGGAATCACAGCAGAGTTGGTACGGATGATGGGACTGTTCCTGGAAGGTGTTGGGCTGTAGGTCAAGTTCGTGCTATAGATCAGCCAGTCTGAAGTCATCTGCAGATACAAACATCAGATTTGTTAAAACCCAAGACACCCCACAGACTGAAGATGTCTGACAGTCTCATTAATAATCTGCAGAGGACACTATATTGGTCACTACATTTGTCATGGCTGCAAGTTGTAGGTAAGGAGCAGTACACAGAACATAACTGTTTTGTAATCCCATACATAGGCCAGAGATTAAGTGTCAAATCTTTAGAAGAGTGCCTTCATTTGATTAGTGATGGTGGAGTTGTATAAACCCAGTTTTCATTAGCAGGCATTCTGGGGAAGCATGCAGATTGTACAGGCTGGTCATCAACATGCACAACCTAAACTTTACACAGTACATACATCCCAACTCTGATGTCTAAAGAACCAGACCACCAGTGGGAGGTGGTAAAGGGGGATTAATAGGTGGGTCAGCTGGCATGACTTCACATCCACCAAAACCAGAACCTGCTGGGAGCTATTGCCATGAACTACATGTGAGCTACTAGTGATGTACTCAAGCTATGATTGCTGGTGACAGATCCCTGGTGTTCCCAAGAGCAGGACACCAGGGAACCATACCCAAATATTGGGACTGTAAAGCCAAAAAACAGGATGCTTGCAGTCTGATGGAAACAGTCAGTTTGTGGGGGTGTAAGTAGGGATACATCAACAAGAGTGAGTTAATGCTAAAATAGCCAAGAACTGAGCAGAGAGACTACATGGGTATGATATATACACTAGATCCCTTTAATCCTTAAGGAGTGAACTGCAATAGATCTGGACTACACAACACTCAATGGCCACCTATAGTTTGTGCAACCTTTACTATTATGCTCCATGATGTCATGAAAAAAAAAAAAAAAAAAAAAGGGGGGGGAAATTAAACACACCACATGGTTATGCACACCACAGTTTAAATGTAACTTGTATTGAGAGATGTGCCAAAGGAAATGCTTAGACTGAGTATAGTCTTATTGGTCACTTCTGGGTGAGCCTCCAAGTTTGAAGTTCAGGCCAGATTGGTTTTGCATGGAGTATCCTGATCAGCCACTATGTGCCCCTTTGGACATGACCATAGGATACATTTGCAGAGTCTCAAGGATTTTAAAGCAACACTCCAGACACCATAGCCAGTAGTGATGGTGCCAGGAGTGCCCCACTTACCCATTGTAAGCAGGCCTGCCAATTTAGAATCTTTAAATTGGGTGTTTACCCTGCCTTTGTTAGTTCCAGCAGAGATACAATCTCCGATAAGCCATTCTGACTGAAGAACTTCCAGCTTTCCATTGGTAATAGTAGAATGTGACTCAAAAATGGGAAGCCAGGAGCACCATATCCACTACAATGCACCTTGTTACAGCAGCACACCTTAGTCTGATACACACAATTACCTATATCTCCAACATTAAGAAGTCAATTCACACTTTCAAGGCATACGACAGAATACAGAGTTAATTTATACCTAGATAGAAGTTTCCTCACCTGTAAGGTATTGCCGCAGTCCTGCAGCCCCTGCTGGAAGATCACAGTAGTTGCTGTACTCTGGGAGCTTGGCATACACTGCCTGGGACCCAGACTCAGATCTGAGGCTTTCACCAGCCGCCCGTTTCCATAGAGATCCCGCTTTACAGATACCACCATTGCATCCTCCATACAGTGCACGCTAATAGGACTCTGGACAGGAGTCTGCAGCTGTCTAGACTGACCCACCACCCCAAAATTCAACCTGGAGGACCCCCAACCAGATGGTGTCCTCCCCCACCAGGAGTCATACTGTCTCCGATTCCTGGCTAGGACATGCTTCCTGGAAACAGCCAACTCTGGGCCAGAAACCAGGAACACCAAGAGAACGCAACTCAGTCTAACCCACTGTCCCATTCTGACTTCAGTACAATGACTACCTGTACAGCCCTGCCCTTTATATACCTCTCTCACCAGCTGCAGGTAGGTACCTCTAACTAGGAAAAGTCATCTGTATAACCCCACCCACCAGCTGCAGGTAGGTACTTCTAACTAGGAAAGGTAATCTGTATAATCCCACCCACCACCTGCAGGTAGGTACTTCTAACTAGGAAAGGTAATCTGTATAATCCCACCCACCACCTGCAGGTAGGTACTTCTAACTAGGAAAGGTAATCTGTATAATCCCACCCACCACCTGCAGGTACCTCTAACTGGGGAAAACAATTCCAGACACCTGTAAAAGCTTCTTTACTAGTTATTAAATTTGTTAGATCCTCAATGGATTCCTAGACATTTATTGCATGTTTGCTCAGAAAATAAAATATATTGTATACAGTATTCATGTGCTGCGGGGGGGGAGGATCAGTTACTTACAGGGTTATTGAATAAAGTGAGAATTAAAGGTGAGTTTAAAACGAATTTCAAATTTAAGGCCAACATAGCCGAATGTGAAGAATTCTTTAGCGAGCTATGCTTTGCATTCAGTGACTGTGGCCTTAGAATTGAAATTCCCTTTGAATTCTCTCCTTAGTAAATAACCCTGATAATGAGGGTGATGTCTTACAGGGTTATTCAGCAAAGTGAGAATTCAAAGTAAATTTTTAAGTCAAACTGGAACCATTTTCTGTCAGCTCTGCTTTCACTTCAGATACTCTGACTTTAAATTTGAAAGTCACTTAGAATCTGCTTTGATCTCACATTTCAGTAAAGAACCATGCAAGTTTCCCTCCTGTAACACGGAATTCTACATCACGGCAGCACTTTTCATGCTCTGTCTAATGGTGTCAACGATTGGTATGGTGGATCTAGGAAACTATCTGGAGCTGTATTCATCTGATGAGTGTTTAGGTACAGACTTACTGCTTTATTGAAAATACATAGTTTGAGAGCTTCAAGGTAAAATTATATTTTGTTAAAAGTTACAGGGCTACTTACTAAAGTGAGAATGGTCAGGAATTCACAGCGAAATTCAAATTTAAGATCAAAATAGCTAAACTGGAAAAATTCTCCAAGTCAGCTATAATTCCAGTTTGGCTACTTTGGCCTTACATTTGAAATTTACTGTAAATACACTTTAAAGAGACACTATAGGCACCTAGCCCACTTCAACTCGTTGACGTAGTCTGGGTGCAATATCCCTGTCACCTTAACCCTGCAATGGTAATTATTGCTGTTTCTGAGAAATTGCAATAATTACCTCTCTCAGGGTTAACTCCACCTATAGCGGCTTTATACCAGACAGCCACTAGAGGCACCTTCCAACCAAAAGTCGCCTAACTTACACTGAATGTCCTCTCGCTGTTCATGAGGACATCCAGCAAGGGTTTTAACTCTTTCAGCACCGGGTAGGGGGCCCATGAGCGAGGGGGCACTGTAAGGAAATATAGTCCTTTAATACTCAACTATTCTAATCTGACATCAAACAAAAAGTTATTTTGCTTAATCCAAATTTTGATCAGTGTGCTGACAGGTATTGAAGGGGTTGCATATGGAATCATGAGAAGTATGTCAGAATAATATAAAAATGAATTATACGCACAGATTGAGATGTTTAAGGACTACTCGACACACATAAAGCACTTCAGCACTTCACAGAACTGAAATGCTCTATGTGCAAAGTGTGAGTCCTCTTTTTTTTTTTTATTAACAAAGAGGGCAGATTTCACAAGAAATTCACACTTTTATAATTTATAAACGTGACAATTCTTATAATTTTATCATTGTTACACCCCCCTTTTAAGCTGACAACCGGTGCTGTCACTAATGAGAAATGATTGCAAGGCAGGTGCTCTGAACAATTTCTACCTCTTGAGCTAACCAAACCAGGAAGTAATAGGAGCCTGAGGGGTGTAACCAGGTTAATTTATAAAAGCATACATTTCTATAAAAAAATGCACTTTTGTAAAATGAAAAAAGGACACACACTTCACACATAATGTACTTCAGCTAGCTGACGTGCTTTAGGGTCTGGAGTGTCCCTTTAACAAAAGGGAATACTGTGACAGCTCCTTACCTGTCTCAGAAAACTGCCACTCTGGCAGTGGCAGAATATTTTCTGTGGTTTAGACAATGTCTTCTTTGATTCCCTTGCCTTCTAAGTGAATGGGGGCACGAGGAGCCTAACAAAATATGAATTCCTACTGCATTGACAAATACTAACAAAGTGCGTGATGCATAGCCAGAGGAATTAGAAAAAATTATGTTGGGAGTCCATGGCGTAATAGAGATTGTGGACTCCAACCTGGCATGTTTGACACCAATCAAAAGAGAGAGCTTCATTCTTTAATGGTTATTTACTAACGTGAGAATTCAAGGTGAATTCAAAGTGAATTGCAATTTTAAGGCCAAAGTAGCTGAAATGGAACAACTCTCTGTCATCTACGCTTTGATTTCAGCTACTCTGGTCTAAAATATTTAGATTTGAAATTCACTTTGAATTCTCACTTTAGTAAATAACCCTATGTTATTTGAGATAGTTTACTTATGAGAAAGCGCCTTGGCTGTGAAATGCATTAAGCAAACTTTTCCTTTTTTTTATTTATTTTATAATGATTTTATTATTTTTTTGTTGGTAACTGTAACAAAATCCCTCATTGCTTGCAGTAGTTATGGTGATTTTTCTCACAGTGGTTATGGTGTGGATCACGGTATTAGCATTGTATTCCAACCAAGAACACGCTCCTAGACTCTGGTTACCCTGGGACTATGGCCCCTGGAGTGCTTTACCTGTTAAAAACTCAATTTCTGCATCTTTGATGTTAAAAACTATGTCTGGCCCTTTAACTCTGCTGGGAAAGAATCTGTAATGTTAAAACCGGTGTGACAAACTGCCCTGTTCCTCTGGCTTTCCATGTACCAAACTGCCCTGTTCCTCTAGCTTATGGAGAAGCCTGCTTGCCAGCTGTATCACTACTAGCTCTCTTAAGAGCTCTCTCCAGCTACCCTGTTACACCTTCTGGAAAGAGAGCCCCAGCTACACCCTCCTGGATGAGGGTGCCCCACTCTACCCACTCTACAGGACCTTGAGTTGGAGCTCTGCCGTGGTCTCCAGTACTGGGAATGAGGACGCCCAGACGGTAGATACCCTACTCCATAGGGGTAACCATTACAGTGATATACTTTGTGGATGTTTTTTTTAATTATATTATTATTATTTTTGCAGGTGATGAGTAACAACAATTTTTTCTAAAAGACATATATGCAAACATTGATTGTGAACAACGACTTAGTAATTTTGTCTTGTTATAATCACCAAATGTTAAAGTTATGCTAGACTGGAGGTAAAACACACAGTAATGATGCCTTGTAAGGTTTGTCCTAAATCAGTTTGTCCTAAATCAGTAACAAATGTTCTAGCTTAAAAAACTTCATAGTAGCTAATTACGATGCAAAAACAAAAATAGAAACGGTGCCACAACACATCTTTTTGATTGGAAGAACTAGATGGACCCCTAACCTATGGGCGGTAATGGGGAAGTGAATACGACTAATATGAACGCAGGGGATTTCATTGTTAATATGATGCAACCCTTTGATGCTATTTCACAATATACTTCAGTTACGATTCAATTACTGCAAAGTACTGATGTGTGTTTGCTTTGGAGAATATATTTCAATTCTCATATCACTATGTAATTCCAAGGGTTATAATTTCCCCCAGTTCCCTTACCCCTCCTCTATTACCCTTCCTCTTTTTCTTTCCCACTTAAACTATTGACTCTTATAGTAAACGTTTCTTTTCCTTTTCTCTACATTTCAAAAAAGGTTAAATGTTAATTATACATGAAATAATAATATAATGAGGCTATTGTATTGTAATTACTGTAAATTATTCTTTGTTTTTGTTTATTTTTGTATCTTTCATCTATGTACATCTATGTACGACTTATTCATAAAAAATAAATATATAAGTGGAGAGCAAAATAAATAGTGACAATAAGCCCCAATACACCAGTAATTGCAAATACCACAATTGGAACGGTATACTTAGGTGGCTTTTGGTCAATCCAACATTCTCATACAAAACAAGAAGCACAAAAAACACATTATCATGCAGTATATCTGAGAAATGGCTTACAATTGTTTAGTAAAGGATGTGTATAGTCAATATATAACAATTGATTTATTGCACAAACGAAACATATATAAGTCACATTTAAAAGTAGATAAATGTACAGAAATAAATGTACAGCTGCTTACAAGATATCAGGAGGTGAGTATATGGAGGTGGAATGCTCCGATACTCACAAGTGCTTAATAGGTGTAAAATCCGTGCAGGATTTTAAATACGTTATCCCCAGCAGGATTAAATGTGGGATTCTCTTTTTCAGCTTTTTTGTAATACTTTTTCTTAAACAACACTGAGGAACTCTTCCTTTCTAAGCTCCCTACTATACTATTTGTAAATTTGCCCCATATATTTTGGAGGGTTACCCCCTCATTGGAGTTCCCTTTTAGGTGGTTACAGTGGTGCAGCTCATGAGCCCTTGACTTGTATCCAGACTCCTGACCTGCACTCTGTTTACTTTATTTCTCCATTTTGTGTAATAAAAAAATGTAATAATATTAAAATAAAATAAAAATAATATTAAAAAACAAAATTTAATATTAAAATAATAATAATTAAAAAAAAATAATAAAAATGCCCACCCCCCACCAAGGTTACACACTCTGCATCACATACACACACACTGCATTCATACACACACACACTGCATTCACACACACACACACACTGCATTCATACACACACACTGCATTCATACACACACACACTGCATTCACACACACTGCATTCATACACACACACTACACACACTGCATTCATACACACACACACTGCATTCACACACACACACACACTGCATTCATACACACACACTGCATTCATACACACACACACACTGCATTCACAC